CACCGTCTGGGACCAGCATGAACAGCCTCTGAGCCACATGCGCTTAAGCATGCTGTCAGCAGTCATTTCTCCCCAACAGCCCCGACCAGGACAAACAAAACAAGTGTCCAGCGAGGGCAGGACAGTGGCGACACCGCTCTATACAGCACGGAGCATCGACCAGCTGCTGCTTCACGGATGCGGAAAGGCCTCCGAGCTGAGCAAAAGAAGCCAAAGAGCAGCGCCTGCTCTGGGAAAAGAGCCGAATGCCCACAGCCGTAACAGAGCAGCAAGCTGGGACGGGCGGCGAGGGCAGCGTCCGCGGGGTGGAGGAGGACAGTGAGGGCGTCAGGGCCGTGGGCGGGAGCGGCTGCGTCTTCCTGGCCGTGTTCGCCAGCCGCGTTCACTTGGGCGAAATGGCCAACTGCCCCCCTGCACTCTGCGTGCTCCGCCCACGGGGCTCCGCTCCTGCAAAAGCAGTTTGCTTTCAAGACTCTGGAGGCGCGAAAAGCAAATGCAACTCGTGGTGCTGGCTGACTCCTGCGTTTAAAGAAAATCTGTAAGGTACGTTTGGGGTACAAGTGCCCACATCCCAGAATTAATGAGCTTAGATGCGGTCACCGGCGACACAGTGGTTATGCAGGCGTCTGCCCTTCACTTATGGGCGAGCATGATGGACAGGACAGTAACTCACGTCTGAAGCTGGCTTTCAAATGCGTCAAGTGAAAAAAATACGTCTAAGGAAACATAATGAGACAGAGGTCCCGGGGTGTGCGGGAGCTCACCCCGCGGCCGTCAGCCTTCCTGCAGACCTGAAGCACCACGACTGCCCCCGAATAACGCCACAGCAGTCGCGCGACTCACATGCTGAATGAAAACTCCGACGCGTTACAGGCTTTTATTCCCCTTCCTGAAACAATATTTCGCCCTTCACGAAATCAAAGAAATAAAAACCCTTACCTTCTATAAACGGAAACAGGCAAACTGAAGGAGGCTGGCGAGGACGGTTTTCCGGAGGGGTTGACAGACCTAGAGATGACAGAAAAGGAAGCGCCATAGCAGACGGGACCTCAGTCCCAGCAAGGCGCTCGCTTCCCTGCTTGGCAACTCTAACAACTCCCACAAGTGGGTCTCGCCACAAGGACAGAACTTGTCCCTTTTTACTTTTCTTCTTCCCTTCCTTCCTTGAGGAGGTGGACGTTAGCTGGGTCTATTGTGAGCATTTCACAGCTTACGTAAATCAAAGCGTCATGACTACACCTTAAACTGACACAGGGACACGTACCAATGATTCTCTAAAAAAACGGGAAAAATAATTTACCCTAACAAGAGAATGATACAGTTTTTAAAAAGAGCTTCAGCTGGTTCTACTGTTTATAGTTCAGTTTAGTTGTAACATGTTTGCTGCCTTCTGGCTCCGCTTATAAAGGGTGAGCATGCTGGGCCCTCCCTGAGGCACAACAGGTGAAAGCGCAGCACAGCGAAGCCAGCCACAGCTGCTTCAGCTCGAGTTCGGTCCCCGGCCAGGGGTGACCCCCACGGCACAGCTGACCCTGCCTGTCTCCCCGCTGCTCCCTCAGCAGTACACTTCCTCAGTCGGCCTGTTCTGCTCCCCACTCTGTCTCTGGTGAATCTTCTCACCGCCCCTGAACCTCTGGCCTGTACCCCAGCTCTGTATGCATAAATAAGTAAATCTTAAAAAAAAAAAAAAAAAAAAGTGAGCATGCTTTCTCGCAGGAGGGCGCACAACAAGGAACTCATACCAAGCGCGCACTGGCCCCCAGTGACCCTGCTCGGGGTTGTGTTAGTCAGGTGTTTCCATCCTAGTCATCTTCCCAAAGGAATTTTTAGACAATTTTTTATAAAGGCCAAATTGAAAGTATGAACTAAGCAATGAATGTATTAATGATGAAAGTTAATGCAGCAATTTTTAAATTTCATACTTAGCGATGTTCGAAGATACATTTCAAGGTGACTTCTGGAGCCCGTGGACTTTCTGCTACCCCACCCCAACCCTCGCCCGACGCCCACCACAGCAAGCAAGAGCCTCTTGAGGCGGGATCTCCACGCATTGCCGCGGTCACCCGGACCTCTGACAAAACATTCAGAGCAAAAGCTTGAACGTTCTTGTAGCTCACCACATGTCCATTCTTGATACTTCATCAAACAACAGGAGACTAAATAATGCTCCAACTTCAGTTACAACTGTACAATCTTCATGAAATATCAAGGAAACTGAGAAGTAAAAAGAAGCATAACTATGAAATGTTTTTGCTACTAGAGAGAATGAGCCCCAATTAAAATACCTTAGCCAGAAAGACAGAGGTGTCACCCCCAGAGATGTGCCGTCAGCCCAGGTAAACTGACACTTCTGGACAGCAGGCCTCAAGCGTTCCCATGCCGGTAACTCTGAGGGGCTTGTTAGAACAGTTACTGGTGCGGTGGCTTTAGGGTGCTGTCTGTGAACCCCAGGAGCCGCACCAGGAGCGCATTTACAGACCCATGAGTGGATACGGGCCAGCTGTGGTCAATCAGGGAAGCAACTGATCCAGCCTCTGGGTTTTGCCACATCATTAAACTTCAGCTAAACTTTTCTCACACAAAGCCATCTTTATCATCTTTTAACTTTGCCTTTCCTATAAACATCTACTCATAGAACTTGGATTTGACTGTGAGATTTTGTGTTTATGCTGGGGGGAGGGTTTTGGCTTCCATGTCTTAGTACAACCAGTTCATACAAAAGGGAAAGTACTCTGAACCTACAGACATGCTCCAAGCATCACCACTTGGAAGTCTGTTAAGTGACCAAGTCAAATCCTTCAACACCATAAGCCTCGCTTTCCACCTCTGTAATGTTTCCAATGCTACAATTTCTTGGTGCATGAAACCTACAAAACTCTACCTAAACAGGATGGCTGCTCCATTTGGGCAAGGGTAACAGCATAACAGCGTGGGCAGATCTAGGGAAATTATTTTTGAAAGAAGGTAAATTTCCCCAACTGCAAGAAAGGAAGAACATCACTATATAGGTGGCACGATTAAAAATAGAAGTAACTCAGGAGTAAGGAAAAAGACACATGCAAGTATTGCAATATAATTGCCTACATTGGGAAGAAATAGGTTTAGATCCCGACCTTATATGAGGCCGAAATCAATTCTGGATTAAAGATGTAACAGCAGGAAGTATGAGAGCACATTTGGAATTTGGAGTTGCAAGAGGCCCTCCTTCAGAGCAAAATGAAAGTTCCATATGCTGTAACAGAAAAAATTTTTATGTATTTCCCCAAGCTATTTAAGGTTAAGCCTGTAACACAGTCGAAAACATAGACTGAGTGACCAATAAAATCAATCATAAGTTTTATATTGCTCTATATAAAGAAATTCTACAAATTACGAAGACTCAATCCAACCCAAAATAGGCAATTCATAGAATGAAATGTAAGAAACACACGAAAAGGTAGTCAACTGCACTAAAAATAAGATAGAAAGCAAAACAATAATGATGTATTTGCTGCTAATAAAGGAACTTTCAAAATGAAAGACAATGCTTGCAAAGCTGTGGGGAAAGAGGAAATGTTACACACCACGCTGGACATGACCAGAGGGAAACCCGCCATGTCTTGCAAAACCTCTTTAACCCACGACTGCAATCAGTGTTTGCACACCGATGCTCACGGCACACGATGACTGCCAGTCAGGAACAGGAGACGGGCGTGGAGGCTGAACCGAAACGCGCAGCAGGCCCGTGCTCTCCGAGACGGTAGCCTCGTGTGTGGTAACGTCTATTTTTATTTTAGAGGCCACTTCAGATGGCGTGTGCCCGCAGGCCCTGGCCACATTCTTCGGGAAATTGAAAAACGAGAAAATTTTTTTTAAAAAAAACTTCCAAGTTTGTATTTGCACAGTTTCACGTTGTTTGGAACTTTTCAGCCAGGGCACGTGCAGGCTCGGACCTACAGGCACGCGCCCAGGCCCAGGAGACCCGGCCCATCTGGGCGGAGGCCCGCGTGGGACCCCAGGAGGGTGGCACAACACGCCGGCGGCCCCCTTCACCCCGCCTGTTAGTGCAGCAACAGTGAACATCCCCAGAGCACAGACACAGCCAGCACCGGCCTCACAGGGCGCGGCGAGTGGGCCTCACCCCTGAGGAGCAGGGTCAGCAGAGAGGCCTGCTGGGCCAGGGCGCCGCGCGTGTCCGGGTCGGCGCAGAGGACCTTCCTGAGCAGCGTCAGGCTGGGCGGCACCAGGCGCGCTGTGACCTGCCAGGAGGGGACAGGGTCAGTCCGCGTTCACTGCCCAAGGTGAAGGAAAAGCACCCCAATCGCACCGTACCCCAAAGTTTAACCTTCTTCATCAAACCTGCACAAAACTAAAATGCAAATAAATATTTGCAAGTTATTTTCCACTGAAAATAAACCTCGTATACACTTCTGACTACACAATTTACAGAAAATTCAAGAAGAGCCCTCCTTTCTAGAGGCCTCACTGCGAGGAATTAAGACAGCGAGCGACGCTGTCCCTCAGGACCGAAACGCCAAGCGCCCAACTGATTTTGGAGCTGACAAACACGAATGTCTGTCGGTAAAACACACAGACGTGAGTCTCACCTCACCATCCTGACCCACAAAATCACGTAAATACTCGATTATCTTGTCAGTCAAGCATAACTTTTTCACCGTTGCATGCATTTTAATATCTGCAGACAGAAAAAAAAAATGTTAGCAAAAGTTAACATTTTCTGTTGTTTTAAAAACGGTCAAAAGTATTTCCCCGTGGTAATGGAATTACAATGAACCTTTGAACTTCTGACTATACACAGCTGAACAATTTGGAAACTTTTACCTATCAAGGACATCTTGTGCAAATAAAAAACCGATTAAAAGAGAGTAAATAAACTACCTCAGACACTGAAAAGTACTAGAGTTGTAAGTATGCAGACATCGAGGATTATTCTATTTATGCTGATTCGCTGAATGGCTCCTCTTTTCCAAGGGTTTAGGGGTCCCGAGAGGCTGACCCAGAAGGTGGAGGGTTTGCAAAGAAGTCCCGGGGCTCGAACGACTTTGGGTGACGGTCGGGACAGTGAGTGCGTCAGACTCTGCAGGCCCTGTGGCCCATCCGCACAGCCTTTGTCATTGCCAACATGTTAAAAACCATGCGTGGGCCCTCCCTGGTGTTACAGCACTAAGAAGCTAAAGCCACTTCGGTGTGAGTTCGATCCCCGCCCCGGGGGTGACCCACGTGGCGCAGCTGACCTCTCCTGACCCGCCCGCTGCTCCCCTCAGCTATGGACTTCTTCAGTCGGTCTGCTCTGCTCCCCACTCTGTCTCTGGTGAATCCTCTCACCGCCCCTGCACCTCTGGCCTGTACCCTAGTTCTGTACACATAAATAAAATATTAAAAAAAAAAAAAAAGTTCTTCTCTTTTGGGTTGTAAAGCAAAACAAAAATGCCAGGCTTTCATTACTTGAGCAATACAGCAAATCACTTCCCAGAAGAGAAATTACCTTGCATGATCACAGCCAACTGTTCCGCTGCCGACTTTCTCAAATTAAGATCAACATCATCAGAGGTAAAGATTTCATAGAGCTTTTCAACCGTCTCCAACTGAAAACAAAACAAAACAAAACCATTTTCGTCTGCTTTCACTTCTCCCACAGAATTTTATCAGTCATACCTCAAAGCGAGAGCTGAAAGAGTTCACTTAAGTGACTGCTGTCGGACACAATCACCTGCAGCACTGCACACCTGCTGGATGTACCGGGGCAAGGAGGAGCGTAGGAGCTAAATCACAGCTGCCGTGCTCACCAAGCCCCTCTCCTGAACGTGCACTTTTGCTAGGACGTTCTTCACCGCCTGTCAGCGGCCGTGAGGGTGTCACCCAGAATGTGCGTCGCCTAACGTGGCCACAGTCAGTGCACCGGACGGTCCTGGAAATGGCAGACCAGGCTTCTGACTCAGGGCTCTGCTGCCCCTGAAGCCACCAGCCGGAATCCCATGGGCCTCTCCCCTTCCTCCCTGTTGGGGACCCCGGAGCAGACACCCTAGGGCTGCTGCCCGACCCCTACGATAGTTCTGTGAAGAAGGATGGTAAGGGGCGGACTTCTTGATCGGACCCTACATCGGGCATGATGACTAGGGAGCAGCTTTGTCAAGTCAGTACCCTGGAAGGCACCAAAGGGCCAAAGGCTCAGGTCTGAGGCTAACTGCAAGATCCCGTCACTGGGACGTCTCAGAGTAACTGTTTTCACCTGCTAGAGGACTGTTTTCTCCCTCTTATAGAAGAGGCTAAAAATCTTTGTCAGGGACCTTTTCCTTTGTGCTACTATCTGCAGTTTCCACCAGAAGAACACGAATTCCCGAGTTATGTCAGTGACATTTGATTTGAATCATTATGTTAAGGGGAAGAATGTCCTAAATGAACTCTACAGTCTTGTGGACTCCACCCCCTACTCCAGTGACTGGAAACTACAACTCCCAGCAGCACCAGGGAGAGAACTGCGAGGACCCAAGGGCGGAGCTAGCAGGAATTCTGGGACTTTGGGGGATAAATAGGGCGCCTTTGCATCTCTCACTCAGGAAACGGCTCTCCGGACCTCGTGCCTCGGGGCTTTCAGTTAGTTTGTTACCAGAGCTCCAAGCCAGCCCAGCCGGTAAGATATTCCAGTTGTTGTTTCCTTTTCTTTTCCCCTTTTGTAAATAAACCCGTTAAGACCCTTTTGTGTGCACCTGCAGTGTAACTGAATTTTAAGCACGCGGGTGAGGCCCCACCGACAGGCGGCCCAGTTCACACTGGGGTGCCCTGTAACAGTTTTGGTGCCCAACGTGGGGCCTGCCCAATTTACACCCCTGGTTGACCAGCCCAAGCACCTTGCGTTGGTCACCATAAGTGCATTAGGTCTACAGGACACATGGCTTCGTAGTTTTAGGTCATAAGAACTCTTTTTTTCTCTTTGTATGCAGCTCTTGCTGATATTTATCTCCATGACTTTGACCAGTTTTTTTCCTAGCTTAGGCTCTTTCAGTTTTATTCCAGCCTTAAGTCTCCGTACCATTTTCCCATTGAATATCACCATCCGTTTTATAAATGTCAATAATCTGGTGAAACCTGGTTTATGGCAAATGCTGTTGCTTTTGTTCTCCTCTGTGGGTGGCTTCCAAGCCATTCCTGTTGTGCAGTCTGTGCTTCTGGGCGTCTTCTTGATATTTTCTATCAATATCAGTTTTTACATTTCCAGCTCTGTGAGAGAAAGTGGAGGGAACTCTGCTTCTTCCGCTGCAGATTTGCAACAAATTTGGGCTCTTACTGAAAACATGCAGCAGCAAATGCAAGCCCTTAACTCAGTTATAAACAGTATTAAAAATGAGAATCAGATTGCCCTTGACTCTGTGCAAGCCCAGAAACAAGGTGCCTTCCATAAATTAGATATGGCCAGGATCGTATTATGGCACAGAGAAGGAATAAGTTAGAAGAGGATTTTTACTTGCTCAACACCTTAAACCCTTCAGGAAAGAATTGTTCCCTGCATAGCAAAGCCCCTCCTGTGGAAACTCCTAAGGCTCCTGTAGACACTCCTAAGGCTCCTGTGGAAACTCCTAAGGCTTCACAGGCTCCATTGCCATCTGGAGAAGGAACTAACATGCTTTCTCCTTCCCATACTAGATGGGACACCCCTTTATAAGTAAGAATCACCCTGAAGTAGGGCAGTTCCCTCTTAAACGTATGGCAGTGGGTGGTTTAAATGCACAAGGACAGCCTGCTGGGTACTTTTGGTCACACAATCCTTTTAGCACAGCAGATCTCTTAAATTAGAGGAGCTCTGTTCCTTCTTATAGGCAGGACCCTAAGATGATGGCGCCCACCGTGGGGCATGCCTAATTTACCCCCCTGGTTGACAAGGGGTTTGCCTCTATCTTTCTCTTTCATTGTCCTAATTGGGCAGATATCCAGTCAATGCTGCAAATGTTATTGATCTCAGATGAGAAAAGGATGGCTTTTAAGAAAGCCAGGGAAGAAACTGATCGCCTTCACCAATAGGATGGAGAATCCCCAGAACCAGACGTGGCTATCCCAATGGTAGATCCCAATTGGGGACCCCAGTGAAGGTGATATGGATAGGCTGGAACTCTATAAAAAATTGTTTATTGGTAGGGCTGCAGCAGGGGATTCCCAAACAAAAGAATTTTAATAAAATTCTGCAGCCGGAACAAAGGGTAATGAGGATCCATCAGAGTTCCTTGAGTGAATTATCCAAACGTATGCCAAACACAGCTATAAATCCAGATGCCCCAGAAAACATTCGTCTGATCACTATGGTGTTCATTACACATAATGCCCCAGACATCAGGAGGAAATTAGCAAAGGTGGATGGCATTACCGAGTTCAGTCCATCCCAGTCAGTAGACCTGGCATTTCAAGTGTATGTATAATAACAGAGAGAAGATCTAAATCTGTGACTATTTTTGTACAGAGGCAACGCAGAACAGAGTTTCGGGGTAACAATAACAGAATGGCAGGTGGACCCAGGAGATGTGAGCTCTAAGATGGAATCAGTGTGCCTACTGCAAGGGCGAGGGACATTGGAAGTATGAATGTCCCAGATTATGGGTAAACAAGAGGCGTTACAGTGACAGGAGACAGGGTAGAAGGTCAGTGACACCTCACCATGATTCTCACAGAGGTTATAGGAGAGAATACAGAGTACATTGGATCCAGAACCAAGGAAGGAGGAAAGGAGACAGATGATGGCTCAGAGCAGAGATTCAGATGAAGAAAAGGAGGAATACAAACAGGATACTAGAGATCGAGAGAGGACTACTAAGGGGAGGGGACATAACAGTAGTGTTCACCAGAGATTCAGATAAAGACTAGGGGAGCCCAGAGACTCCACCAGATCTAAAACAGTCCACTAAAATACCCCACTTGTGAACTTATTGAAAATCTGGGATACTTATTTAAGAAAAAGAAAGAAACTTAAATGGAAGAACTTTTCTTCTTTTTCAGCTAGGTAGCAGTGCACTTCAAAATACGCTTTCTGAAGGACCCTGAGATGACAGATATGTTCTAACTATTCTTTTTCCTTTGGAAACATTTAGGAATAGTACAACGTCATTGTGCAATTATGCTAGCAGTATTTTTTTTTTTTAATGATTTTACTACACAATAAGGCCTCCAGTCTTGATGTTGATATTTCCTTGGAAATTTTTTTTTCTATTTCTGTCGTTTGTTTTTTAATCATTTTGGCCTCTATTAGTAAAACTGCAGTTACTTTTGATTCCACGAGCCATAACTAAGATTACTATCTGTGTCTGTGTGTTGATGTCTGCATGTCTTTTACTTGTGTTTAATTATCTTAGCCTTGAGGTGTTCTACATTGGTTTGGATGGCGCCTATTGCTATTGTAAACAAACAAATGAAATTGTAATCTTCATGGTAACTAACCTGTTTTAAAAAAGGGTTGTACTGGTATATGTACTGGTATATATATATATATATATACATACACACACACACACATATATATATAGATATAGATATTTTCTCTTATTTGGGTTGATAATGTCAGACAAATGGAAGTTTGTAATGACTAAGGTTTTGGAAAAATAAGTCTCTAGTTATAAAATAAGAAAAACAGGACAACTAAAACGCTATGGTTTGAAAGTCAACATTGTCTTACTGAACTGAGCTGGAGCTTTCACGGAATGGAGATTATCTTTGCTGTTATTTTTTTATTATTATTCATATTTGTGACAAAGCTTTCCAGAATTCTAAATTGAAATGCAATTTGGTAACTTGTCATTTGGTTCATCAAAGGAAGTTTTGTGGAACCTCAGTAAAGCTCCTGAGACCTCCACAAAATTTCTCCTTTTCCCCCGGAGAAAGCATTTACAATAACTTGTCCAATTTGGTATACATAGTAATGTAAAGTGGGAAGGAAGCATTGTCACTTGAAATAGGTAAACCTTTGGCATGAAAACAACTATTAACCTCATTTTTCTAAAACATGGACAAAAAAACTAATTTTTTGATATGTATTTCATATGTATGTAAATTGTGAATGTTGATCATTGTCTTGTCATTATATTCAATAGTCTAGTATTTGCAGAAATTGTTTCTGAAAAAAAACAATTTTTTTGATATGTATGTAAATTTTGAATGTTGATCACTGCTTTACCATACTATATTTGATAGTCTGGTATTTGCAGAAATTGTTTCTGAAGAAAACAAAAATTTTTTTTGTTTGTTTCCATTAACAGCTCTCAACAGATTCTAATTGATTGAACTTTTGATATTGGAAAATATTTTCCACAAGAACCAAATAGAGTGATTCTACTAAGTTTTGTTTGAAATAATACTGACATTTTTGTTTATACGATTCAAAGACAGTTTTCTTGCTTTGAATGTCCAGAATCTACAATAATACTCCACTTTTTTCAAGAGAGCTAATTTTTGTTTCCATTTCTTCTCTTCCCTTGATAACAACACAGTATAAAAATTACAGTAGTAATGAGTCTATTTTTGCATAACTTCAATAGGTAATTTTGTCTGCCTAAACTAAAAAAATTGGCAATGTGCTTCAGTGGCTTTGCTTGGCATTCTCCAGGAACTTCAAACAAAACTGAACCAAGAAGATGTGAATCTGCTGCTTTGTTTGTAGGGTTCCAGAGACCTCCAAAGAAGGTGAGGAAGCTTGCCTCCATTAGAAGGACTGGACAACCCAAGAAAAACATTGAGCCCTGGTAACCTCAAGAAGAGGTGACCCCAGGTTGAATCTGTAGAGACTGGCGTTGTTCCTGAAGCCTACGTCGCCTGGACATCGACTGTCCACTCTGAAACTACATGGAGTGTTCCAACGAGGCCATCTAAAAATTGCAATTTGGTTAGTCTACCCTGTGATTTTACGCAGAAATAGAAATATGGTTAAATGGTAGCTTGAATTTGTAAATATGTTATACATTAGATTAAGTTGGAATCAAGCTTGAGAGAACTTGTTTTTATATAAGTTAAAACAGTTTTTGAAGATTTTTGTTTGATCCTGTTATTTTGACACACACACACACATACACACACACACATCGTTTTCTTTTCTCTTCACCTATAATGATGGACTATTTTCCAATAATGACCATCATACCAGGCATTCATGAACACTGCTGGTGACAGCTGCTTCTTTTGCATAAGCTGGAAACCTTACAGACTGGACATCTTATAGAGACTGTCTCTGAAGACTACACCCTGTCACCTGTGTCACCATAGATATGGTGGTATGAAATCAAAAGGGGGAAATTGTTAAGGGGAAGGATGTCCTAAAGGAACTCTGCAGTCTTGTGGACTCCACCCCTTACTCCAATGATTGGAAACTACAACTCCCAGTAGCACCGGGAGACAACTGCGAGGACCCAAGGGCGGAGCTAAGCAGGCATTCTGGGATATTGGGGGATAACGAGGGCACCATTGTGTCTCTCGCTCTGTCACTCGGGAAACGGCTCTCCGGACCATGTGACCCAGGGCTTTCAGTTAGTTACCAGAGCTCCAAGTCAGCCCAGCCGGTAAGATATTCCAGTTATTTCCTTTTCTTTTCCCCTTTTGTAAATAAACCCGTTATTGACCCTTTTGTGTGCATTTGCAGTAAAGGCCCCACCAACAGGCAGCCCAGTTCACACTGGGGTGCCCTATAACAATTACACAGTTTTCTTCCCACCAGAGCAGACTTTACCATATTTAAGATACACCCATTAATTTGCATTTCCAAAGACATACCATGCAAAGAAACACACTTTCCAGCATATGCTTGACCTCAAGAAATGGTTGTACAACGAATCTATCCTGACACCAGGTGAAGTCCAAATACAACTCAAAGTGGCCATGAATCACGAGGCCTGGGGCCTCTGCTTCTCCCGCTCCTGGGGGAGCAACACACACTGGAGCCACTGACAGGCACAGGTGCACCCGAGAACGCACAGCGCCAGCACAAACGGTAGCGTCACCTTGATGACGAGGTCTTGTCTGTCATCCAACGTGAGTTCAATGGGCTTCTTCACAATAAACAAACTGGTAACTCTGGAGAGGAGGCTGGCGTCTAGGAGAGGACGCTTGGTGTCGGCCCCTTCTTCCTGGGTGAGGTGACCGACCAGAAGCTTTAACGCCAGCAAGCGGACCCTGGAGAAACAGTATTTAAGTCAACATCCCATAATGGACAAGACGTCCGGACATCAAAACAAAGATTCACATTGACCATAATAATCAGCCATGCTTATTCTAACATGACCAATAATGATCATTTATTTCCTATTGAAATATTCAGTTTATAATCAAAATTATGAATCAGGAATTATCGACAATTAGTATACAGATTGCTAAGTGCCGTTCTAAGCCTAGGGACCTACCTGAACCCCAGAGACTGTCACAGACCCCAGAACAGCACACAGGGTCGACCTCACAGGTTCTGCTGATGCACAAAACCCTCCCATACCGGGGCTGGACAGCGTCCTCTCAAACAGGGAGCGCAGAGACTTCTGCATCCCACCAACATTCTCCAGGTGTCTGCTACCTGGAGACTGGTTTAGGGTCAAGGTCAGTGGCGTGGGGAGGTGGGAGAGTTTGAGAGAGGACGGAGAAGCACCTGCCAGCAGACAAAGGGCAGTGAGCGGGGCCTCTGTGTCTCCTGCACCGTCATGTGGGCTGTGGGTCTGTTGCCTGAGCAGTAACGTCCCTCCAGGGGGACAAACCCAAGAGAGCAGGTGTCATGTTGCTACAGGACCAGCTTGGAGAACTAAGACTTACTCCAAAGAGGCATGAGAACCGGCGAGGGCCCCCATCACCTGCTGTTACCTCACAAAAGCCCAGAACAGCCGGGCCTGCAGGAGGCTGCCCTCTCCGTCTCTCCAATGCTATCAGCTTTAGGGTGGGGGGCGTCAGAGCAGGCCCCGACACAGCCCCCAGAGGACAGGAGCAGGGGCGAGGCCCACTGCTTGCCTCTGGGGACGCCACCTGGGGGCTGGGGGCATCTCATCCGGGCATTCCTCACCTGCATTTCTCTCGCCAATAGCTTGTACCCTCGAGCCCAGGTGCCTGGGAGATTCTGGAGCCCTGAAGATGGGGTCTAAGGGCGCGCCCGCGCTGGAGGGTGCGTGAGAAGTCATCCAATAATGAAAATAAAAACCCTAATCCAAGTTAGCTGAAGGTCTATTTAACAGAGAATGACCTTCCCCAGCAGGGGTCTGACCTCTGCCCCAGTGGAAGGCTCTAGAAAACCCTCCCTGACACAGGTGTCTGCTACCTGGAGACCGCGGCCCTCACGGGTGAGCAAGAAACTTGTACGGCCTCAGATCATCCGAGGGGGGCGGGGAGAGGAGCGCGACCTGGCACCCTGGGTGTGTGGGGGTGGGGAGGGGTGCCCCGAAGCCGGCAGCAGCCCCGCGCCTCCACTCTGCGGACACGGCGCTCTCTCCAGCCCCTCGTCCTCCTCCTCCTCTGAATCGTTTAGTTATTCCCACCCCCCCTGACGTGCAGTCCAGCCATCTGATCATCAGTAAGCCACTGCCATTGTCAAGCCAAAAGGCGGCGCGGGGGCGGGCGGTCACTCACGGCGGCTTCTTCACCAGCAGCAGGCGCAGCAGGGCCCTCAGGCGGGCGGTGCCGGGGAGCGTGCAGGCGCCGTCCTCGGCCCTCTCTTCGCTCAGGAGCAGAACGGCGTGGCCCAGCGGGTCCTCCGTGTCAGCGCAGCCCTGGGGGCCCACAGGGCGCGTCACGGCTGCGGGGCGGACGCGGCCGGGCGCCCAGAAAGCGGCTGAACCGCGGTCCAAGTTTCGGGATAAGCTGCCACCCTCCCGCCCTGTCGGGCTTTTCCCATCCCCACGATGCTGGTGGCGGCCCCTGCCGAGAGCCTCCCCAGGTCTGCAGACCCGTCCCCGGGCGCGAAGCAGGAGGGGCCGGACACTCCTGCGGCCGAGTGACCGCCG